GAAGAGTGGGAAAACTTTGCAGTGCACAACATTTTTTAGCAAGACATTCATAGCATTCTAGTATTTGTCACAATAGGTTCTCAGAAAAGCAAATGTTTGGCATTTTTCGAGAATGAATAACCATGCTACGAACAATCTTTTAGGGGCTAATTTGCGTGTAAATGAACAATCTCTTTTTCATGTGGGCACACTCCTGAAATTATAGGATGGACGGTGATAGATCCAGAAGATATATCATGAAGATATCAACAATTTGTAGAAATGCCATCAAAGTCTCATGTTTATAGTAACTTTTCATCCAAGAAATCCGACCATTCCATATCAACATCAATAATCACCTTGTATACAAATGTATAGCAATATTCCTGATCCTGATCATATTCGATTTGGTATTGATAAAAATTGTTTTGATTTAGTACAATAGTCAGTTTTGATTGAGAAATAGAGATAAATTGATCTTGAAGAAAAATGGGGCTTTCTTTCTGTCACACCTACAACATTTATTGCATAATTATCTTGAATAAATGTTTCATATCAATATTCCATAGTAATTGACAAAAAACAATGAAAAAAACTGAATATGTGCTAGATTTCACAAAAAAATTAAATATTTATACTTATATACAGCAATGTACAGGATAGTTAGTATAAGGTAGAATACTTTTTTGCAGCTTAAATACTGATGATCTGCATAAATAATCAATCATAATTAGTATTATGACTCATCTCAATAATACCTGGATATCAATACACCTTCTTGAATTTCAATTCAGAAATATGGAACTTGTAAATCAGATTAGTAACAGGAAACCACCAAGGACTTGAATTAAAGCATGTAATGATGAAAACAACGAATCGTTCAGTATGTGTTGTGAATATCAACATATTTTATATTTATCGGGCATATCTTGAAATGCTCATGCTGCAGCATGATGGTATCTTCAACCTGATCAAAATTCTGCTCAAGAAATATAAATCGTCCAATGGTACTCCATCTCCTATAAAGAAAATCCCCATTATTGAGACTTTAATAATGGCGATTTTTTCTTAGCAGGTAAGGTGATCTACATTCTCATTGATCTTCTTGGTCTTATCGAATTCCATACAAGTACGAAATTCGAATAGCTTGATATGAAGAAACAATGATAAGACAATCGAGAGACCTAAATTACAAGGAGGTGTCGTTGAAATATGTATTTTAATTATTCAGAACATCAGTTCACAGATTCTGATAGTGAAATCAATGGAGAAGCAAGGTAATATAGTGCATTTATAAAGTTAGTATTAGGAATTGAAAACGGCATTCAAACGAGAAGTACGATGAAAGGTAAAATATAGTTTATTCAAAATGTTATATAATGGAATGAACCGTTATTTGAAATAATTGATATGTGAATAAATTTACATTTTACGGTTGAAGCTCAGTTTATATCTTGGCAATAGATAAAGATAAAACAAACGACACTCACTGAACTGATGTTCAGGGTGGCTTTAACTAGAGCATCATCATTGGAATTGCGTAAACCATAAGAGATATACAGGGTCGGCTAAATTATGGCAAATATGCGCAATTTTATGCCTAACAAAATGACGTTTCGAAACTTGAAATTAATTATTTTAAGAAGGTCATTACAATGAATTACTCTTTATCATGGTCACTTATCCCTACAAGTTTGCATTTTCAAATTTGAAATCTGACATTTCATCTTCCAAAAACCATTTCAACTTTTTTTAAAATACAGACCTGGATATCCCAAGCTATGAGCAATCACAAGTTTTCAATTTCAAATGTTTCGTTCACAAAACCCTTCGAAAATAACAATTTGTGATAGCTCATAGCTTTTGGGATATCCAAAGGAGTGAAAGAATAAAATAAACAATTCAGGTCCGTTTTCATGTTTCAAGTTTCAAAACGGCAAATTTTTTAGAATAAAATAATTTAACCGACCCTGAATCTCTTATGGTTTAGGAGAACCCAATGATGACGCTTGAATTCCAGTCACCCTGTACTGTACAGTTTTCACAGTTCTGCATATTGATTTTTCATATTAAATTGTATAGTTTTGAGAAAGAAGAAACAGTAACATTTCTGCTATATCTTTTATAAAATCAACAGTTTTTATAGTTCATCAAGAAACTTTATAAATCCACCATATGAATATGTACAAATAGTGCAGCTGGCATTTTAAGCTATTCTAATACATTAGCTTGGTGTTTTTACCAGTGAGATGAACTTTTCACGTTCAGGAATATACAAAAAGAGATTTATTAGAGTCCACATTTGCCCTAAAGGCGAGAAGAATTGATTTATTGAACGGTTTATGATAACTAAAAAACTGTTCTGTTCTGAAACCATCATTAGGAATATTTCAATTTTTTTAAATAAATCAGATTGAATGATTTTCTCTTCGAGAATATCTTCAAATTGTAACAAGAAAAAAATAAATAAATTTAATTAAATTTTAATAAAAGAATAACTATTGAAAGGCAATAAATTCCACAAATTCCAACAAACTCTTTTCACAACTCGTACAGTGTGTTTCAAATATTGATGTCAGTATCTTGAAAACCAACCAAACTAACATAATTTGACCTTCTGGCTAGTCATCAGCCCTCAAAAGGATACCGTCGACTCTTGTGACACCCAACTTACCTAGAAAGCAAGAAACATATCTGTTTGGACACTTTCACTGTTTTTCCTATACCATTTTCAGTTCTTTTCGTTTGATCTCGGCTCCCTACAGAACAGTTTTTCATTCACTTCCGAAAACAACATGACTTTGCTACAAAACAACTACCATAAATAACAAGTGTTCGCTCCGAAGTAAATATCTAATAATGCATCAATAAATTAAAAACAATAAAATACATCGATAATTACATTCCAAATTGTCATGAACCTCTTCTTTGTCTGAGGAATATGAGTGAGTCTCGCGACTGCTATCGAATCGCTTAATCAAGGGTAAGTTCTAGAAAAAAACACCAACGCAGCCCCAAAGAGAAATCGGGACACCTTCTGGGTACCTAAACGTTTTATAGCCTGACTTAATAAGGGGCATTTCCATGCATCTGTCATCCCACGTACGATTCAGATTATGATGGATATCGTGCTTCCAAAATTATACAATTTCCATTCATCCGAAATGACAGGATTCAAAATTTGACGTAAATTTGCGACATGACAGAGACGATGATAGTTAATTTATTTTTTATTTCGAGATGTGACTGATCGTCAACAAAAAATCATTTTGAAAGGTCATACAGGTCGATTCTGTTCCGACGTTGTTATAAACATTGTTAAGTTAACGATATTATTATGACCATAGCAAATAGCAATATTACTATGCAATTCTGTATTCTGTTTGGACAGTAGCTGAAAGATTGATTATGAGTTCGAGTGATTGTATTATTGTTGAAAATGGCGGACTTCTGACCTGACGTTATTGTGAACTTGTTTGTGAAGTGTTAGATACCATTAGTGCCATTATTTCAAGAAGAAGAAGAATTAATGGTTACCTAACTTCCCAAATAAGTCTGTCTTGTACTAAAATTTTCAAAATTATATTATTCAAATTGACAGAATGTTTGTATCTGGTGAATTTGGCCATTGTGCAAGTAATGGTGTACCAAAATGAGAAAACAACCAAGTCAGATAAAAATCATCGTGCATTATTTTTAAAAGAACCCGATTCTTATATAAAAAAAATATTGTTGGCTCATTCAAAACGAATAGCTTGATGACCATTCCATCAGGCAATCCAAATGGAATTTATCTACAAATTTAAACTTCAAGGGAAGGTTTTCAGGTAGTTAGTTTTCCAAGTGAACTTCTCATATGTTTAAAATCACCTATTTTCAAAATGTTCAAACACTTGGAAGAAATTGTAGTGCAAAAACAAAAGATCTACTGCTATTTCCAACCTTGTTTTGCAAGCATGAACATTTTCCATAAGGGTACATGGAACTTTTTTCCACATTTCCCACTCTAACACAATACCTGGAGCATTTATTCATTGACATGTTTCTTAATTAGGGGGCCAGGTAGCCGTGCGGACAGAGTGTCAATATTCTAATCCGCATTCGCTTGCCGGTCGTGGGTTCGATTCCCATCGACTGCAGAAATTTTTCTGATGGCCCAAGAAAGTGTTTGGGATCACACGTTAACCGGTCGTGGGTTCGATTCCCATCGACTGCAGAAATTTTTCTGATGGCCCAAAAAAGTGTTTGGGATCACACGTTAAAAGGTAAGGCCCCCGTCATTCCTTGCTCGCACAAGACACTCGAAGACTTCTGAGGGTTGCTCGTAAGGGGGCAACCGAATGACGGATAGAACAATTTTACAACAATTTTCAATTCATTCATCATGAATACTGTGAGAAAGGTGAATGATTCCAATGAAGAGTTCAGTTTGGTTCAATTGTCAATTTGAAATTCTCGAATTCACTTGAATTCAGCTCAAATATGCCTGATATACTTCGTAATATACCTCAATAGATACTCAGTTTGCAACAACATCTACACAATTTTCTCGTACCTATAATATCTACGTTCAAGTTCAACAAAATCACCAATTTTCAGCAATAATAAAATCAAAATTAACACATAGTGTTGTTTGTCTTCTAATCAGCTGATGAAAACAACGCGTGCCCCATCTTGTGACGTCAGCTGACACTGCTCTATTGACAATTCATTCACTTTTTCGAATCGTGCTCTGATAGCAAAATCTCTACAACCATATTGCTATTTGCAAACATAATCGACCCGAATATAAGGTTATAATAGTCCTTGAGTATTCAGTGACAACAAGGCTATCCGACGCCGGTAAGGATGCAACCTTTCGTACATTTTAAATATTTGACCAGTAGGAAATGTTAAACATCAAATCTGATATCGAACGTCCGATGACATATACATGGGACTGCTTCTTTAGGAATCACCTTAGCGTTCAATGATCGGGAGGTATCTCGTCAGACGCGTCTGGAAATGATGCTGCGACCATTTTAGTTGCCGTTCGTGTTTCGCGCCGCTATGATGGCGTTCCTGTTGTTCGAATCGGTGCCGTATATTTTGCCGGCCTTCTTCGCCATCGAGCCGAGCAGCTCTTGGGACAGCTTGTGCGCGCTTTTCAGAGAGGTCAGCCATTCCTTTAGGCCTATTTCGTCCTGAAAATTTGAATGTCAGGACAAGCGGTAGGAGATTTTTGGCGGGAATAATTAGAGGAGAGCTGAATTTTTGTATATAGCTTCATTTCGTGATTCCGATGACCTTGATAAATTTTTACCATTCAAATATACCTGCGTTGACCATTATGTAAAAGTGATAAACTAATCCTTTTGTTTCATCTTCGTTTAGTTGTATTTGTTGATTTGAGTTTTCCGCGTAAAATAATGTACTGATGTTCTTTTACGTCTTCCCAGTGGGATGTGCGGAATATGGACGGACCATAAACGCTCGGTGGAAAGACAGAGTCCCACCACTGCTCAAGTGGGTAACAGCTCGGGGTTGTTAATAGAGATATACAGTGTGTCCATTTAGTGCGTAATTCTTCGATATCTCGAAAGCCATAACCTATAGAGAAAAACTTTGGACAAAAAACTTTTTCAGTAACTAAAGTTGCCCATTTCAAAATTATTTTCAACATTACTGGGTGTTTCATAAAAGCAGGGCAACTCGAAGAAGAGTTTTTTTTTAAATGGAACACCCAGTATTGTTCATTCGGAATTAATTCAGTCGAGGTTCACCTTCACATCGCTGTAAAAAAAATTGAAATCGGTTGCGGCGTTGCCAAGTTATAATTGATAAATCGATTTTTTACCATTATTGAAGAGTCATGCTGAATTGGCATGGTATATTCATTTATTCAGATATTGAAAATATGTTTGGCATACGGTAGGAGCAAGGTCCAACGTATATCAATCCAGTAATTTTGCGACATGTTCTTCAACAGGGTGCTCAATTTTGCAATTAGAATTTTGCAAGATTCAGATGACATTCATCAGAATTTTTCAAATGAAACACCCTGTATTTTTATTCAAAAATACATTTCGACATCTTTCGCATTTTTATCGCTGGAGAACAAATCGGAATCGGTTGCGGCGTTGTCAAGTTATGGTTGATTTCCTTATTTTTACTACTATTTCGGGGTAATTTGCACGTCATAGTTCTTTCATTTATTTGTATTGTGGAAATATTGCGTTGCTACGGTATAATAAAATCTGTTCAATGACCATTCATATATTTTTTTACAAAAGGAGCATTTACAGGCTCTCCAAGTTTGAATTTTTCTCGAAATATTTGTGTAATGACCTGTCAAACATCGCTACAATCAAAAATATCTTGGATTGATTCGACATTTTGCTGAATTTCCTCCCAAAAGCCGCGTAGTAGAGACATATTGTTTGTATCATTATGTTAACCTTCTTCAAGTTGAATGGAGATTTGGATTGTGGGAATAACGACAATAAAAATGGCCCAAATTTTCCTAATTTTCGCAATCCGCATCTTCATTGTTTGTATTGTAGAAGGTATTTCAAAGACAGGCGTTGCTTTTGGCATGTTTGTTTGTTTCACATATTATTTGAATCATAAGTAGCAAGATTACGGAATATTTCAAATTTGGACGATGCACATATCACAAAAATACCTGAATGATCTATGTAGAACCTCGAATGTCATATGGCAGGCAATATTCCCACACCCAAATCAAATTAAGGAACCATCATGACGAACAAATTACCCCGAAATAATAGTAAAAATAAGGAAATTACTCATAACTTGAAAACGCCGCAACCGATTTTTTCTTCTGCGATGAAAAGGCGAATGATGTCGAAGTAAATCCGTGATGAAAAATACAGGGTGTTCCATTTGAAAATTTCTTATGATCGTCGTCTGAATCTTACAATATTCAGAATGTAAATTTTAGCACCCTGTAGAGGATTATCTCGCAAGATTACTGGATTGGTATACGTGAGACCTTGCTACCACTGTATGTCAAAAATATTTTCGAAATTTCAATAAATAAATATATCATACCCAATTGAACATGACCCTTCAATAGTAGTAAAAATGGGTTTATCAATTATAACTTGGCAACGCCGCAACCAAATTCAATTTTTTTTACAGCGATGTAGAGCTGAACTTGAGCGGAATAAATTTCGAATGAACAATACTGGGTGTTCCATCTGAAAAAACTCGTTTTCGAGTTGCCCCGCTTTTATGAAACACCCAGTATTGTTGAAAATATCCTCGAAATCAGCAACTTTAGTAACTGAAAAAGTTTTTTCTTCAAAGTTTTTCTCTTGTGATAATTGATTTCGAGATATAGAAAAATTACGCACTAAATGGACACACTGTATAGTGACGCTTTACTCTTGTTTGTTGGCTCTCCATGGTTGATTAAATATAAAACGATAATCGATCACTCAGTGTGTGTAATATTGATCCGAAACCTTTCCCATTGGTGATTATGGTACTCCGATTCCTGGTACTTGTCCAAGGAAGGTGAAATTGAGATATCGGCGCCGGTAGCTGGAGTGAAGGAAGCTCCGGGCAGTTATACAAGGTTAGTGGTGTAAAAACTAATGTACACACATGATTCCGTTTAAATTTATCATTCGATTGAATATAGTCCACAAATTCGAACAAAATTCGTTGGTGCAACACCAGTTTTTTGCTAATATCTTCATATTCTACAATGAAAATAGTGATTAGCAATATCACCAGAACTACATTTTTTACAAAATAGTACATTGTCGCTGAGATCAACTGTTTTGACTAAATAGCCTCGAGAAGTGATGGCCTCCTATAATTTTTCTGGTACACAATTCTCAATCCAAATGTTTTTTAACAACGATAGTATTTACTGATGAACCCCAATGGTTTTGATCAAAATTCTCTTCTCTTGTCACCCTTTTCCACACCATGCGATCAAACATATGACCCCTTCTGTAGATGGAATCCCCTGTAGTCCTTCAATAAGCCTGATTAGATATTGAATTGACTCGGCCGTTACTTGATGAAGATCCATAGTGAATGTAAAAAACTTCCCAAGCGATGATTTTCACAAGATTCTCAACCACAGGACATGTTCTGCTAACACATTAGTTTCTTCGCACCTCACCTCATTAGTACCTTTATTCCTTATTCCAATATGGCTGTGAACGCAAAGATTTTCAGAAGGAGAAAACTAAACATTATCAGAACCCCAAAATGAAGCTATATACTGAAGTTCAGCTTTCCTCTAATTATTTCCTATGAGCTGTGATTTATGACCCTTGTCGCTTTGCTTTCATCCAAAACATTATCGTTCCATTTGAATAGATTCATATTTCATAAGCAGGATAATAATTCGTCGAAATATCTTGCAATAATAGATGCATACGGTTTAAAATAATTGCAGCTGAGCGAGCAGATGCAGATTTGGCATCACGTGATCACCTAGTCACTAACAATCGCTGATGATCAAATGTCATCTGTCACCTTTCTATCAAATTTGAAATTGCATAAAAAACACTGAAGAATATTCCAATTACTTTTCCAGGCAATGTTATCATATTCATGAGAATGGTTTGATTAATATATTTCGAGGATGATGGGGATGTGATAGAAAATAATAATTCACCTGGAGTTGAAAAACTTGCAGAGAATGTTCCCCGTTTCAGCAATAAGTAACTCATAATGCCTGTTAGCATCAACCCAAATATGATATATTTGTTCCAAATACTACACCATGATATGGCAGGAACAATAAATTGATATTTACAGGTGTTAGTGAATAAGTGCGACAAACTTTAGGGGGTGATTATTTGTGATATTTTAGAAAATAAAGTTCAAATAAATATGATAGATAGATTGTTATTTACCAAAAGAAACAGATTAAATAATATATCTGGAGATAACTGATATATCTGGACAGACAGCTATTATTGAGAAGTATTTCATTGTAAAACTATATAGGTATCAGTGTATCATTATCGCATAGAGCTTAGGGAAAATGACTAGACAATATGTCATGTAGGTTGTTCATGTAAATAAAATAATTGTCCTAACTTGCTTCGTTTTTGAGATACAGGATGTTGAAGTTGGAAGTATTAATTGTTTTCATTTATAATTACCTTGTATAAGCTTTCAAATGTCTTATTGAGTAATCCCAATGGGTGTCTTGAGAGCACCTATACATTAATATTTTGAGTCAAATCGAATTTTCAATGTTTCCATGCCATAGGAAAGTTGTTATATCTATTGTTACTTTTAATTAAGATATAGAACTTGAAAAACCAGTGGCGTACAATGATTTGAATTTTTATTCTCAATCTAATTACACTAAAAGGTGCTCCATGTTTCTAGCAATGAAACCATCAAGTTTCATTGAAAGTAATGAAAAGACATTTGAGTAATGAAGACAAAAACGATTTTTCATTGAAATATTAATCCCCTATATCACATGTCTTTATTTCCTAAAATATCACATAGAGTCATCCCTTGAAGTTTGTATATTAGAGGAGCATGTAAAGTTTGATGTTCTACGCGTCATCAGCTGTGATTCAGAGAATTAATGATCACATACATTAATATATATCGCAGACTGGAACCTTTGGCACGATAATACACTACACTGTTTTACCACTAACCAAACCGATTTTTTAACGCCTCGACACGTGTTTCGCTAACTATGTTAGCATCTTCAGGAGAAGATTAAAACTGGTTTGGTTAGTGGTAAAACAGTGTAGTGTATACATTAATATGGTGATCTCAAGGAAGAAAATAACGAAAACGCATATACTGCCAAGAAAACAATCTGTTTGTTCCGCTTCTGAACATGAAGATAACATTTTACATATTTTTGCTTGCAACAGATACATAAAAATCGAACGCACCCGATTTCGCTATCTAGGAGTTAAGATTTAAAGTGAATAGAGTTGCACCAAATGGGTTTTCCACTCATTATCAGTAATAATACATTTTCAGAGGAGAATGTATTTGAACTGTCTTCATAATTTCGCTCCGTCTACAAGCCTTCCAATTTATCGTACTGGATCGAATGAAATCTGTGAATGAAATACACTTACCGGATTCGTGAGAACGATTTTCCCATCCCTTAATCTGACCACTATGCAGTTTTCGTTTTTCACTTGAACTAGGTCTGGACTAACTTCTTCTATTTGGTCCATGAATACCAATTCTGGCTTCGCCGAGTCCGGATGCAATTCTAGCCTATTGGGATACAACTTTGCATACCTCATCTGCCAACTCGACGTCCATGGCCCTCCTAATTTTTTTATGTACCCGTGTAATATGCAGTCTGACTCTGAAAAAACAAACATCGGAACCTCACTTGATATACACTGTGTTTACGACTGGGATTTTTTCGGCTTCAATAGTTCTATATTTTGAAAGATACATATTTTATATCGGAACCAAAATGATATACTTGGAGTAGCATTTTAGCAAAAATTGAAAAATAATCTCAATATTCCTATTAGTGGGTTGAAAACATGATCTATGGAAAAGAAATGGTATACTAGACTTCCATTTTGGACAACTATTAAACTAAAAACGTTGCTAGGTTAGTTCATTATTTCAAAACAAACTGCCAAATAATCCACTAGTACTCGTCAAATAAAAACATAGACAGTCGACCAAATGTTGATGATACTTTTCCCAATAGCGTAAAACTTTATGTGTATATCATTCATTTGGCAAAGGCATCAAAACAAAAACGTAACATCCATAAAGAAACTCTAATCATGATCACAGACATGACACCGACACATCAATATCGTCAGTATTTTCACAATTACTAATCAGTCATGTGTTTCCGAATAAGCGACAAACGACAACCCGGACAACCCAACACAAAAAATTTGGGTTCAGTGTGTAGTGCAACGGCTTGATGATTGATTACTAACGTTCATTACTTTGTGGGAATGAAATCAAAAACAAATTTCCCCACCAGCGTTGCTGTCAGTTGATAGGTAGCGGGTTGAAACAAAATAAAATGTTGTTTTGTTTTGCTTTTTGATGATTAATTTTTCTATCATTATTATTTGGTGGTACAACTTATTGATTTTTCGATGATGTAATCACGTATATTTGAATCATCGAAAAAGTAACTAATATGTCAATTATCTGTTGTTTGTTCTTCTTCTACAAGCTTACCTTTTTCGTCTAAATCATACAGTTTCTTTTGTTTGGCTCTCTTTTTGTGTTCCGTTTTGTCAGCCTCAAAATTGACAGTTTCAAATACTGTTTCTGCTACCTCGTTTTGCCATCTCTCTGATATCACAAGTGGAAAATTTTTGTACAGGTCTTGGTCGGCATCAGTCAACTAGAAATAGACATAAGAAGCGTAAATGAAAGTTCGGGTACCTCATTGTAATAGCGCTATTTACCTTGATTCCCTTGGTGTCTTCTTCATCGAAAGAACCAATATCGAAGGCATCTGCTGCATTCACTTCACCGCGCGGTGGAATCAGCGGAGGAGTATATTTTTGCAGATACACTTGTTGCCAATCGATTCCGGCAAAGAAGGGATGCTCTTTGACTTCATCCGACCTAGAAATAAAGCAGTCAGTGATGGTTTTCTGAATTATCATTTTTCCTTCTTATCATCAGCACTTTTTTCTCGAAGTTAACCACACAAACCGGGTCAACAATAAGTTAATCATTCAATTGTCCTTGAAGTGTATATAATAGTTAACCAACCACATAAACCAGCCCACTGAGGTAGTTAATGGAGTTAGTTAAGGCTTCTGATTGGTCACTGGATTGAGTTCTTGTATCTCACTCTTGTTGATGTTGTTATAATTGTCATGTGAAATAATTATCCTTTTTTATGAACTAATTATGGATTCATACGAAGTATTTGTGAATGAAAAATAGGTAATGGCTAGATTATCCGATTTCCTTGGATTTGAAGTACCTATATAATATCTATCTATAGACTATAGAGATAGAGTAAATTTTTGAAACAAATGATGCATTTTTTATTCAATATAGGTATGACTACTGAAACAAAACAGGGAATGAAAATTGCCAATAAGTAAATAAGAACTGATAACTGACATCTGTCAAGCTCCACTAGTAAACCGTGATGTCATAATGAAAGTTAACCTGATTTGCATGGTTAGTTTCGAGGAAAAATAGCGTTGTCAGATTACTGCAACCAAGAATACATTCCTATCATTTTAAGATGGGTGAAAGAGAAGCTGCAATGAAAATGGTCACGTGGTACAGAATCATTGTTGAAGACCCTTCACTTGGACGATGTACTTTTTCCTTCAATAATCACATTACAACTATTACACATATACAGAGTTTCTACTCCACTAATTAGATATTGATAGATCCAATTGTTTTTCAGAGATATACAGCGCCTTTCATATTTATTTTGAAATTCGATTTGGGAGTTGTTTGTTTTAAAAATATAAAAAATGGCGTCACGTCACTTTCGCTCTATGTCAAAAGTTTTTTCAAATGATTATAATTTTTTTAAGAAAATCACATTGTTGTTGACTATTACTAATTGGAAGTTGGTAGGTAAATGAAGCTACTGGTATGAAACGGTTTTATCAGGGTTAATTTTGTATTAATCTTACAGACATTACATATGAATTGAAAAAATATCAGAAACTGAAAGTTGCAATGGAACGTTCAAATTCGAGAAGCATGTGTGACATAGGAATTGATACAACTTTTCTCAGTGAACTCTTAAAATTCAAACGAATAAGCCTATTCTCAGCAATTAATTTGAAGAAATGTAACTGTAGATGTAACGAGTCACGTGACCCCAACTGAGTAGGCCATTTTTCATAGTTTTCAAAGCAGAATTCACAACGCCCAAGTCGAATTTCGAGATGAATTATTATTAAGTGTGGGAAATGGTAGGAGATACAAATTCGGTTGAATAGGAGTCTCATTTCAACATACTTCAATAATTCACAAAATTATTTATAGTTTTTTAGGTTAAAGAACTGAATTTTCGGAAACATATTTTTTCTGCGTCAATATTGGACATTCAGATGAACTGAAAATACTTTCAAATAGTAACTTTTCATGAGATTCAGATGTAGGTATTCTTTTAGAAGTGCTACTTTTAGGCTCTTTTGATAGAACAAAGTAATACACAAAATTTACATTCTGTATGAATTATCACATTATAGTCACTAATCATCAAAATAAGTGCCTTGAGGGTATGAGGGTGTCGAGACTTCAATTAATTATTGCTCATTTCTGTTGTATACACCTGCTGATTTAATTTTGTTCTATAGCAGGCACACTTAAATGACTATCGGCATGTGTCTACTGGTTTACTGATATAAAAAATGATTGATATATGAAACTGAGAATATAGGTAAAACATTTATAAACGAACGAATGGATTTTCTCATTGTGAGATACCGCTGTCCACTACCACCGCCTCCTCTTATCACATCACACAGGTACACTTCAGGTGATTCCAGTGGTGGTACTTGAGGATGGGCTACTACAGTTCTGAATAATCAATTTTTTATTAATAATATCAACTTACCCATTTCCTTTACATCCGAGCCTTTTATCAATGTCTCTTTGTAATAAACCTTCTAAAAGAGATTTCAACTCTTTACTAAAGGAATCTGGTAATTCTACATTCTGAAAAATCATGATCAAAATGAAACGTGACAATGAGAAAAATGAATCACAGTCTTACCATGGTTAGCGTCATCCTATCTATCTCGTGCTTATCTTTGGTTTTGTGTTGACGGAATGGCGAGTGACCTTTCAGTAATTTGTACAACATACAACCGAAACTGAACCAGTCAGCACTCGAGTCATATGGAGTACCTTTTGATAATACTTCTGGTGCCATATATCCGTGTGTTCCTCTGCAATTAAATGTTACATACAATTTTTTATTGGTTCTTCACATGATATTATTCATTTCATATTTGGAATGAGTTACTTCCTTAGATGATTCAGGTATCTTGCTTCGCTCAAATGGACTGTCGATAGTTGACAAGGAAACACGCCAACATTGTGAAGGAAAAAACATATTTGCATCCTTTACTAGCCCTTTCGCTCAACGTGTCCTCAAATGGGGACAGCCTATTCTTATAAGATTTTTATACAGCTCAAATTGTTTTCACTTCATTTTCACATCAAACTCATGATAGTATGTTATTGAAAATAAACACGCTTGCAGCCATCTGAAGAATATCCTGGGGAAGTGGAAATCAATAAAATGAACATTATTTATGTATTTATGACATTGAGAATATTGCCGTGTAGAGCTCCGTCCTGTAGTTTGTCTTCGTGACATTTCAATTGCAGCAACTGTCAAAACTACTTTGTTGTGTAGAGAAACAGATGAATTTTGAATTCTGATTATTCCATCGATTATTTTTTAGGTATTTCATGCTCTAGGATTTTTTAGCGCGTTGTATTGTTTTGTGGACATTGTGTAATGTCGGTACATGCTATTAATTTGCACCTAACCATATGGTAATACAATTCACTTTAATTACCTGCCAGACTAAAGAAAAAAATTAAGTGTTGAAAAATTCAAAAAGGAACTGAAAAAATACTTATGTCTTTGATTCTCTTCATGTCATCCTGAATCAATTCAAGAAATTATATTTAACAGTCTCTAGAAGAAACAACATTATATGTATTATGTATATGATTTAAAAATGATTATCTGATTATCTAATTTTTGTTATTTTTTTTTAGTTGCTCTTTCATAATTTTCCCTGCTATAAACATGTATGTTTCTTGGGAATAATAATAAAGATAATAATTTATTTTAATGTGTGATGAATGTCCAAAAGAACTTTAACTGATGAGGAGCTCTTGTAATTGATTGAGTAAAAGTTTCCAGGTGAAATATAATGTCTATAATGCGATTGCATAGCATTTCACATGACAGAGTTATTAGAATTCTTATTCCATTGACCCACTATGTCTCTATTTGGTCTCTAAGTCTCTAAGTGTCCCTAAGTGTCACTTCAAATTCGAAAATAAAATTATTAGATTATTATCGATGCTATTTGTGACCGAGAGGGTTAGAATGGTTAATGGTATCCTCAATCAGAGAATGGCAACCCTGCCTCAATACAGCTGACAACATAATTAAAAGCTGTGTTATGGTGTACTGCTGCATAAAAATTATTCTTTAGGAATTAGAAAGGACATCTCTTCATAGGTAGGAAGATTCAATCATTATTATAAGAATAATAATTGAAGTTTCAGTTTTCCTTAGGACCAGAATGCTAAGATGCAGTGAATTGACTTCTATATACACAAAGGAAGTTCAACTAGAATACTAGAAGAACTCCTCACAGGGCATTGTAGGCTCAACAAACACATGAGTACGATAAGTCTGGTTGAAGAAATGCTGCGCAGGTTTTGTCAGGAAGAGGAGGAAACAGCAGTACATATACTTTGACACTGTGAGGATTTGTCAAGATTAAGGTTCCTTACGTTGGGAGAGGAAAAAACAAGAGCCCAAAGATATACAAGAAATCTAGAAGCTATCCTATGAAGTCTCATGGAGAAGGCGGGGCTAGTCAAAGAACTCTGAACGATTTCGAAGGCAGTCACAATAGATCTGAAATGGTCGCGGTATGGAAGCAGATATCCCGAAGGCCCTATTCTAATCCTATCTAATCTATACTAGAAGAATGCGAGGTGTTCGTTTCAAATATACCATCTCATTCTGGATGATTTTATGGATAACAGCTGAAAAAGGTCTTTGGCTTTCTATTTCTTTAATTCAGCGACGTTTATTTCTTACTATAGTCTGTTCGTTTAAAAGGCGAAGTAATGGAATGTGGCAATGGAATGTTGTCGCAAATTTTCAAAGAGAAATCTTCCAGAGTAACCACTAGAGCGGCGTTGATATTTCATGAATTATACGTATAACCTTTCTCTGGGTAGAGTCGATTTTGCCGCTTTAATACAACAAAGTACGGACTACGAGGAGCTCCGAATTTCCGACAAACGCGCGGCTGGGGCAGGCCTTTCGCCGACAAACGCGCCGCTTCGCCGGCCTAATTAAGTCGAAGGAAATAATAGGCACTCCGAGTTTTCATGGGCGTAGGGAAGAAAACATAGCATGGGATCAACGTTAGTTGTGAAGATTGGTATTTTAAATGCCTTTTTCATTGACTTGTGATTCGTGACACATGTTAGTACGCTTTCCGACCTGCCTTGTGTTGAGCAAGATGGACACGTTTTTATAATATTTCGAGTTATCGCTGATGTGTGCCTGACAGTTCTCAAAGCTGGTTTCCGCCTTGATATTGTTGAGGCTTGGGGATAAAATGAAAACTATCACCATTTTCAATTTCATTAGGTAATATCTATAGCAACTTGTTATCATTCTCATGTGGGTATATTATCATTAATCCATGTGTTTCATGTACTCATTCAATTTACTTCCAAGTAATTATAGGACTAAGTATAATCATTAGATGTATGGCTGATGATAGTCATATATATTTCCGGAACATGTAGCCCTGTTGATTGATCTGCTACTCACATTGGAGGTAATTATTTAGTATAGTTTTGATTTCACTCCACTTTGATAAACCAGAGACTTCTAGCAAAGATACTGAAATAAGCAAAAAAAAAATAGTCAACCTAACACCATAATTATCATCTTATTGAGAAAGGGCCATTACGTACCAAATAGTTAGTAAATTAAATAAGGCCCCAAAAGAACTGTTTCTTTTCCTTTGAAGTCTGATTTTGTTTTTCCATTATTTTGACTGCATTGGAAGGTATAATCATATAATGATGTTGTACACTCTAGTCGACTTCTCGTCACATACCTATTTATATTATATCGATAGTTTCCTGTATTGATAGTATTTCATAAGGACTTTCATTATATTCACAATAATCACATATAGGTACTTGTTTTTCAAAACGACGAAAACCATTTGTATCAAATTCATCAGGCTTTATTTCCCTCATTTCAATAATTATGCTTTTACGGAGCCTAAATATTTCTATTAGTTTTATTTCCTCTCAATATTTTCTATACCGTTATGTTACTCACGCCTGTCATATGGGAATATACAGAGAAGTGCACAGAAAACGGCCACTGCTGTATCTTCTGATTGATTCTAGATCGGATTTCTAGAATTGGTGGGCAGCAAGTATACCAAATTGCTCATCCACTGACAAAACAATATCTGCATGGTCCATTATTTTCTGTTCCACTAGAAACGACCGCAACTTTTGATTTCTAGATGGGACACCCTGTATTGTATCCCATAATCGGTAAGGGATTATCATAACGGATTCGAGGATACCGCGTTCGATGGGGTTATTTCAAACGATTACGAAGGCTCAATGAGTGTGACATAGAAATGAGTTTTGATGGTGCTAAGTCGTCACACCAATTGACATATGGAAATTTTGAACGCAAATATCTTCGTGATCATCTGAAATAACCCTATCGAACCTGGTATCGTTGATTTCGTCATAATAATCCCTTACCGATTATGGGATACAATACAGGGTAGGTAACTCATTTGAATATCGAAAGTTGGGGTCATTTCCGTTGAAATCGGAAGTGATAAAATAAAAATAGTTTTGGTTATGAATGAGCAATTTGGTATACTTGCTATCCACATTTTTGAAATCTGATCTAGAATGATTAGGAAGATACAGCACTGGCCGTTTATTGTGCACTTCTCTGTATAATGTTAAAATTATTCACTAATACCTTCACGTTACGTTATCTTTTCGCATACGATTATACAGTTAGGACGATTGTTTTCTAACAATCAAGGCAGGACATCTCTGGTGTTTCAACAACACCGAAACGACCATGAATTGCTTTCATAGTTGACAGCAATCTTATTCCAAAGACACTTCGAATATGCAACTGAAAATGATATGATATGAGCGAGCTGAATTAATCGCTCTGAATTACAAATGTTTTCCGATTTATCGTTGGTCAAGCCCAAAAGCAGAAATCAATGGTACGCCCATGGTTGGTTTGGCACATTCCATTACTTCGCCTTCCAAACGAACAGACTATAGTCGATTTTATGTTTCAATAAAATGTTTATTCATTCACACAGATTACTTTTGTTTAACTTTATTCAAATCGAATTATTCGTTGACAAGTTTTTAACGAATAACTCACACAACACAAAATCCACATAATATTCGATTCTTCTTTGGTAAAGTTGAGTGATTGCAGCTATAGGATTTCAAAATTCCCACCTTATTCAACTGTGAAATGCTGATACGCGCAGGACCTCTCTGAGAGATGCAAATATACCTATTGCTCTCTTTGTTTGATATTTTCAACACATTGTTAATATTGGCTATTATCAGTCCATTTGAGCGAGATCTGAATGGTCTAAGGGTTCTTCATCCGGTTATATGAATCTACTTCAAAAATGTTTCAACTATCAATATAGGGAGAATATATTTGTATTGATGAAAACAAATGTTTTATATTGATTTCTGTACCACTGACAAATATTATGCTATCACAAATACTGACAAATTATTTGAAATTCTGATTGAAAATGATGAAGAATGCTTGTTTTAATCCAAATAATAATATATAATAATATGTCACTATAATAAAAATCCTTATGAATTTCGTGGGATCGCCAGTACCTATTAATACTCGATGGCCTGAGTTCTATGATCACTAGAAATCTGATTGAATAACATGAGTACCTAACACATAACTACATATAGACCAGGACAGGTGACTTTCACCCATTTCACACTGCATGCCTTTTTAAGGTTATATGTTATATGATTAATTGATTAACCCCAAAACATGAACAATAGACGGGTTCCTGACCGCCGCACGTGTGCACTTCATAATGAGGAGAAGCGCTTTTCTTATTGTGAAGAATTTTCGTGTTTTCCGCGATATTATACTGCCTGCCGTTGTAATATACAGGAGTTCAAACAAATTAAAGCGCTAATGATTGATGACATTCAATCCGCAGCGGCCGAAAGGGCTCAAAAGCGTTACGAAAAACTGAAGAAAATTAAGGGGACTTCCGTGTTTTCAAATTGCATGCCGAAGTAAAGAATTGACGTTTTAGTAACAAAAATACTCTGAAAAAATTGGCAGGCACATCCAAAAGTGACATTTCAATTTCCCGCCATTCAAAAATTATTCAAAATATCTTGAATTCCTGAATGTTTGTTTTTCTTCTGAATACTGAACCGTTCTTCAAAAATACACTAGAATGTCACCTTAGCTCTGTTGCCTCCATAAAATGAAGAAGAAAAAAATATCCAAGGAGTGAGCCAGTTTCTGTTAGGCATGGAATAGTGATTACACTGATTACTTTCAAAATAATGAGAGATTATGGATGTGGGTATCATTTTAGGGCTATAGATTGATAGAATGATATCAGAACATGGAATTTTGTGATTTCTAACCAGTTTCTAACTAAGTAAACTTCAAAAATCTGGTGCTGTATCAGAAACTAGATGTCAGTAATGACAAAAGTCTTGTATCGCCCTAGAATCTTATTTTTTTATAACGGAATCCACTTAAGACTCTTAGCCCTGAAAGTTAAAATGGTATATCATAAATGCTAAAAGTTTTCATAAAGTCACCCTTATTTTCGCGGAAAAACACGAACATTCTTCACAAAAAGAAAAGCGCTTTTCCTTATGAAGTACACACGTGCGGCGGCCAGGAACCCTTATATTTTTCATATTCTGGGGTCAATTATAAAGCCTTGAAAAAGCATGCAGAGTTAAATGGGAGATCGTCACCTGTCACCATCTCCTAGACTAATACTACAAAGATCGAAGTGTTCAACCGAATATACGAATGTAGTGCCATATCAAATGGATAGAGTTTACTGCATTATGTGAAATGAAAGACCCTGATGTATATTTTTTGGTTATGTGATATAGAATTGGAAAAAGAACATTTCGTGTGCACTCAATCGCCATAAAAGTAAAATAAATATTTTAGTGACTCGATTTTATGTTCGTATATACCGATCTCGCCTCAATTTTTTATGAATATCCAAGTTATAAATCATTATGGTTGTTCCAGTTTTCTATCAATAAAATTTATGACGCATTTATGTCAATCAAAATGATCGACCAATAATGTTCCAAGTTTGATAAATCAAAATGATTTAAATGCAATATTGAACAAAAAAAAAAGCATTACATGAAAGTGGTTGGCAGATAGTCAATAATATTATAGGAGTGGAAGGAGGATGGGAAGTGGCTTGAAAAATTTACTGGCATTATACAGGGTGTTTCATGAGAAGACTCACATAGCCAAATGGTTAATAGAAGAAATCAAGACGAGTTCATGTATATATATGAAAACATTTTTTGACCCTCCATAACGAAGATACAGGGTATTATGTGAAATTGCTATATAACTTTTATGGTTGATATTACAGAAATGATTCGTCGTAATCTGCTGCAACTTGGCAGCGACGTATCTTTACTGAAACTATTCAAGATAACATATTATGAATACAATATCCAGGTCCGGACTTGGGAAAATTTTATGTTTCATTGTTATGTCAAAAAAGTTCACTTTGTGACCACTTTTCCCAAAAAATTCCATCAGATTCAGAAAGATCAGACAAAATGCTATAAGAACTGCTCTTCAATTTACACGGCACACGTCGACCGGTTCGACAAAAAAATATGGAACAAAGACGTTCGAATGAGTTTTCAATTTCGACCTGGCTGATAACTCTCAACTTTTAACTGAATTCGTGTTAATTGATACTTTGTACATTTTTATTGGAAAGAAATTGTCAGAAGAGATTAGTTTTGTTTTTTTTATGATTTGACATGTTAGTTTTTGACCGAACTTCTAGATAGATATGATTACTCGTGACTCTATTATATAAATTTATTATAAAGTCGGCCCTGTTTTTATTTTATGTGACGTGACGTTCGTTGATAAGTAAACACTGGTAATCGAAATATTCTTACACTCTAGGTGCCACTTCATATTCCAAATGCTGAACAAGACGAAAATCCAAATGCTATGTTCAATACCATAGAATATTTGTAGACCCAAGAATACGTTACAGTAAAACCTTCACGAGGACGAACATTAGGAATTTTGAATAAATAGCAAATGCATATCCTTCTATCACTTGCAGAAGTGTATTAATAACAAAAAATGGAGCGAAGTTTATGCGTGATGGCATAACTAATTTGATAAATCACCATAATATGGGCACATGAATCCTCATGTCGTAATTTCATCAATTGGTACCTACCTAGTACTAGCCTAGTACCTACCTATCAGTTCGGATTATCGACAAACGTCACGTCTCGTCACACAAATGAAAAACAGGACCTACTCGATATCTCACTTCAAGCGAAACCCATATAAAACAAAGTCCGGAATGATAATATCTATCTGGAATTTCGATAAAAAATATCGTGTTTTTTCTTTCCGTCTATCTTTCTGTCAATTACTATTCAACAAAAATGTAGAAAATTTCAATTCACGTGATACCAGTTGAAAGTTAACAGTTATCAGCCAGGTTGAAATTCAAAATTCATTCGAACGATTTTGTTCCATATTTTTTTATCGAACCGGTCAAAGTGTGCCGTGTGAATTGAAGAGCATTTTTCATAGAATTTTGCCTGATCTTTCTGAATCTGATGGAATTTTCCGAGAAAAGTTGTCACAAAGTGAACTTTTTTGACATAACAATGAAACATAAAATTTTCCCAAGGCCGGACCTGAATTTTTTTTTTCATAATATGTTATCTTGAATACTTTCAGTAGTGATACGTCGCTGCCAAATTTCAGCTGATTACGACGAATTATTTCTGTAATATCGACTATCAAAGTTATATAGCAATTTCACATAATACCCTGTATCTTCGTTATGGAGGGTCAAAAAATGTTTCCATATATATACATCAACTCGTCTTGATTTCCCCCATTACCCATTCGGCTATGTGAGTCTTGTCATGAAACACCCTGTATAAGGCATATGGACATGATCTCGTAGATTCGTATTGGGTCGCCCTCCGATAATAGACTCTTCAATATGTTTACGCACGTTTTTCAACCATATTTCTAGTTTTCATATACTGAAGCAATTGAGCTCTTGTGCACTATTGCCCCGCACTGCATAAACGATACATACACAGAAAAAAGGATTTGTTGCATCAACAAATTATTTGTTTGAATTATTTTTGTTGAACTGAGCAACTTTTGGATGAATCAAATAGATACATGATTATTTCATGAAAGCAGCTTGTTCAATTCAAGAACTTAGTTCAATTGAATCAACAGCATAATATCAATTCCATCAACAAAATATATGGTCATCTCATGAACAAATGATGTCGACCCAAAATAATGTCGATGTTGATACAATGAGAATGATGAGAATATATCATTTAAACAACATACAAGTTTTCTTATTCTGATGTAGCAATGAACTCGTTTCGAACGGATCATTCGCTTGAATAGAGCAACGAAATATGTAATATCAATCAACCAATATTTCGTTTATTCAACATCAAGTTGAATTTTTGCCACCAGATGGCGATCTTAACGCCTCGTTTATGGAAATACAGTTTCTTCCGAATCAATGAAATTATACATTGAATCAACAAAATATTTCATTGACTCATATATTTGATTGAATCAATATATTGTTATTTTCAATCGAACAAAATGATTGTTTGAGCCAGTTCAATATCTCTTCAACAATCATGGATGTGCTTGATTGAATAAGATCCAGGATACATGCAAGACATATTTACTTGATTCAAACTTCGATTTCGCTCTGAAACAAGATATAGATTTGCTCATTTCAAGATTATATTTTGTCGTGCATATATGACACTTATATTTGCTTCATTCAATTAAATTTTGCTTGATTCAACAATTCCTCTTTCTCCGTGTAGACAGTATCAGACGCACACACTTGTCTATTATAATACTACCTATTTTTTTTTGTCTCAACTACAAACAGCATCAAGCACCATTCTTTAAGTCAATGTATGTAGTTGCAGAGCTCTAATAATGCAAATAATACCATTGAAATGATGGATAATAGATTTCGCCATTTTCAATCTGATATGCACACAAGAATAAATTGATTGTCTGATAATCTGAAATTTCAAATACTCAATCAATATTGCTGTTTTTTTGTTTTCATATCATTGTTATAAACTCCCCAACTATGTTATTCATTTTGTTTTGCAAAAGTTATTTACATTTGTCGACATAAAAAATAAGGGAATATACTCACACACTAGCGTGGGGTTTTTTCTTGGAAAAATCACAGGCTAAACCTAAATCAGATATTCGAACATGTCCGTGTTCATCTAATAAAATATTTGCAGGTTTTAAATCTCTATATACAATATATCTCCTATGCATATGTTCTAAACCTGAAAAGAAAAAAAGAGAACAATTAATCAATTTGAATATTTTTGAATGAAAAACTGAACAGAACAAGCTATTCATTTCACATTATAGTCAGCGCTGTGAGTGAAGTGAAAGGGTCATGACTAGTCATGAGACTGGGATTTACCAGAATTCTATTCAAGTTGGCAAATTTCACCAGAAAGCGACAAACAGATTAGAGAAATTCAAAAAGAATTAGTGGAACATCGTGCGCACCTAGGGAAGATATGAGAAATTAGGGATGGACTGAATGGTATCGCTAGTAATCAAATTGCATAGATGTCTATGAATTAGTGCCTGTGGCATCACCAATCAGGCGAATGGCTCGTCTCTGGAAGGAATCTAACAGCATCAGCTGATTTCGTCATAAAAGAGTACTACTGATCTTGAATCCTGCATAATGGTTAGGTAATACAAAATTGCGTGGAATCATTTTATCACTACGAATAAATTTTTTAAATTATTTGTTTGTGTTCGATTTGATATTCAGATCGAATAATAAATGAATGTGTTGGATATTCAGGTTCAAAAACTGTTAGTCATGATTCAATATTTTTTGGAATCACGAAAACGAGGCGAAAAAATGAGGATTAACCTCTATGAGTTTTCATTCATCAATGGCACCCCAATAAATGAATTTGGAAAGATTCAATGTCAGATGACACGAGAAAAATGAAACCCAGTACAGCTTTGACAAATCTATTATCAAACATTCATACTGCCAACGTACTCATCGAATTTTGAATTGGAAGCGTTTGTTTCGACAAGGATAAAAATCTTAATGAAGTTCAATCAATCACCTTTGCCAAAAAGCGTTGAAAATTTGAGGGTGAGAGCAACTTTTGTTTATCTCTGATCGAGCCATCAACTTTTATTGGGAACTAAAAAAAAACAGGTCAACATTTCGGTACATCAACTTACGATTTGGTCGAACTTTCGAAAAAATCGGAAAATAATTAAAAAAGTTACAAGACGATGAATTTTGCTCAATTTTTTTGTGATTTTTTTTGCCGGTGAGTGTATATGAGCAAAGCCAGCAGTGTTCTATCCACCTATCCTAGCAACGGTGCCACCTTATTTTTTCAAACAATTAGTAGAAATGAGGAAAGAAAATCACAATAAAAACCGTTGTTTTTTTTCAGTTACGATTTTTTTATGATCCGATCTGTTCTCTCTCGATTCAGTTCACGACAATCGATCTTTTTCCTGAACACCCATCTTAAATGACTTCGGCGGTTTGAAACTTCATCTCCACCTTATATTTGATCTGGGCACTCACCCGCAAATGTTTAAGCGTCTGTTATTATGCCCACCATTCGCGATTTCATTCATTTAACCACGTTTGGCGTTTAGGATTGTTGGCGTATACTTTTCAATGATACAAGAATGCATCGTTGTGTCTATTTATTGTTATTTAATCTGAGCACTCACCCGCCAATGTACAAGTGTCTCTTATTAAGTATGAACGAATCGCGGCGTCTATTTATTGGTATTCAGGCACCCACCTAAAATGACTTCGGCGGCGTAAAACTTCATCTCCACCTCGTTGAATACCCCGTGCTGGCTCAAATGATAATGCAGATCGCCGCCATTAATCAGATTTGATTGAGTTCAATCTTTCTGACAGAATTTCCGATAGTTTTGAGAGCACGAATTGTATTTATTGGGACAATTCCACAAAATATATAGAACTATCATCTCCTGCGATATAAAAACCAAGCAAACTGGTGTGCATCGATATGATAGTGATATGTATCTTTTCTTATAGCCAGTCAGACCACAAATTTCAAAAGAACATCTTGTTATTTGCTATGACATGGAGATGACAGTTTCATATAGGTCGTAGAGATATTCGTCGATTGTCATATTCCAGTTCGCTGTTTCAATTCCGCTCGTGTTAAACAACATAAGCTACCGTAACAAACGTCGAATATTCTCTGGCAATGATACCGCAGAATTATCCCCACCATTCACGATTCCATTCATTTATCCGTGTTTGGCGTGATAATGTATGAGTGACACCAACCTAAAATGACTTCGGCGGCGTAAAACTTCATCTCCACCTCGTTGAATACCCCGTGCTGGCTCAAATGATAATGCAGATCGCCGCCATTAATCAGATTTGATCGAGTTCAATATTTCTGACAGAATTTCCGATAGTTTTGAGAGCACGAATTGTATTTATTGAGACAATTCCACAAAATATATAAAACTTTCATCTCCTGCGATATAAAAACCAAGCAAACTGGTGTGCTTCGATATGATAGTATCATGTACCTTCTTCTCGAGCCAGTCAGACCATGTAGTCAACGCAACCACGAATTTCAAAAGAACATCTTGTTATTTGGTATGACATGGAGATGACAGTTTCATATAGGTCGTGGAGATATTCGTCGGTTGTCATATTCCAGTTTGCTGCTTCAATTTCGCTCGTGATAAACCACATAAGCTACCGTGACAAACGTCGAATATTATCTGGCAATGATATCGCAGAGTTATCCCCACCATTCACGATTCCATTAATTCATTATGTTTGACGTTTAGGTTGGCGTGATAATGTATGAGTGACACCCACCTAATATGACTTCGGCGGCGTAAAACTTCATCTCCACCTCGTTGAACACCCCGTGCTGGCTCAAATGATAATGCAAATCGCCGCCATTCATCAAATCCAGGATGAAGCACAGCTTGTCGGGCGTGTGGAACGCGTACGTCATGCAGACGATGAACGGGCAGTCCTGGCCCGTGCTGACCAGCGACAGCATGATACGTTCGTTCAGCGCCAGGGTCTCGCCCTGCTTCATCTTGATGCGCTTCTTGTCCAGGCACTTCATCGCGTACATCTTGCCAGTGTCGGCCTTGCGACAGCCGTACACCTCGCCGAAGCCGCCCCTGCCTATGATGCGGTGCACGCTGAAGTCGTTCATCGTCAACTGGAATGAGCAGTGTTGCCGTTTCAGAATTTCATTTGTACTAGAAGTCATTCCGAAATTGTACTAAATTCAAGTATATTGTACTAAACTGAGAAAATAACACTTAAAAATTTACGATTCACACATTTGATGATAAACTCCATATTCATGTATAAAAAATTAAGATGATAATAATATACAGCACATTAAAACATCTCTGAGAAACGTAGGTCATGAAACAATAATAATAACTAATAAGAGCGGAAAATAAGAGATGATTGAAGATTGCGATCAAATACTATCATACTATCAATGAGATAAAATATATGACTCAACCTTCAAAGTGAAATCAATTCATCAATGACAGCTCATTGTTTCTCAGTTGAATTGGAAATTACGGACTTTTCATCAATGAGGGCTTCATTAGGATTCCAATTATAACATATCTTCTCCAAATCATTGTTTCTGTACTAGATTAGTGTTAATTGTATTGACGTACTGAATGTTTATGAAATGTGATAGAAAAGTTCAATAGTACTAAAAACGGCGACACTGAATGAGAACATAGCCTCTAGCATCTAGCGACACCGATCCGCTTTGCTTTTAGGCATCCGCATGCGCATAACGTTGACCGCTCAGTGAACGTGTAAAAATATGTTTTGTAGATATTATCGCAACAATACTACGATAGCCAAGTGAGCCACGTGCGTGCGGTATAGATGGAAATATCCCGGGATGAAATCCCTACTAAAACTACCCTTTTTTTCATTTTCTCATATCATATGGGTGTCGCATGTTCTAGAGACAGGACGCATCAAATATTGCCGCGTGGTGGGGAAGACGTATAAGGTAATATGATGAAGCAAAATATCGTTTCTGCATGAAGAAGGTGATTATCTTACTTTAAATCAACCTATTTCCTGGACAGTATATTTTTCGAAAAATAACTTGAGTGAGATATTACGGTGAATTTTTTGAAGAGAACATTTCCCTAGACACTAACCTACCTTGGCCCGATTGAATGTTCTACTTATAAAGTATATTCTTCAGATTATTACCACAGATAACAAAGGAGATTACTTCCTCCAAACAATCTAACCAAACACGTTCTAAAAGAACCTTCCTTCTATAACGAATATCTTTCGGAAAATTACTTGAAACAACAAAATGAAGAAAATAAATAAAAAATGTCGATTTTTCTTAGGACTCAACTCGGGACTTATGCATGGCAGAGGGACGCGTAGGTCTCTAACCCAAACGCTGATTTGAAAATGTTACTATTAAAAGCGAACCGCATCTTGCCAACTGCCGCAGTGAAAACGCCAGCGAAGAATTAGAAAACAAACTGAATATCATAGGAATATTTGTGAGACTGTATCATGTCAACGTTCTCAATATATGTAATTTATTCGAAAACATGCCTTCTGAGGCTGTTTTTTCCTTTTTTTTTCTTCTGTCAAAAATAATACAGTGGCTTTCAAAAATTCAAAAAAACTTTTAAGATAAGTTCAATTTGGGATTCAACTTGGTGTTTTGCTTTGAAAAACATGAAAAATGGCCTACTCGTTCGAAAGCACGTGACTGAAGAAATACATTCGAATAAATTTCGCTCCTAAATGCGTCGTAGATATTGAAAAAATATCAAAAACTCAAAGTTGCAATGGAACGTTCAAATTTGAAATACATGTGTAAATTCGAAATAGAAACAACTTTTCTTTGTGAATGTTCTTTGAAATTCGAAGGAATTAGCCAATTTTCAGCCATTATTCCCCTCATCATGGAATAGACCACTCAGACACCACCATTCTTCGAACAGTCTAAGAAAATACATACATCATTTCCATGACCTACTATTGATTTTCATCAGTAAAAACTCCATTTTGAATATATTTTCCATACAAATAATTTGAAACAAGGCGATGAAAATACGTCGAAATTTGAAATATACATGCATACTTGCTATGAAGGATACTTCGATGTATTGTTCGGATGCGTAACCAATGTAATAGAACCGCAAACATTGAGCGTCATTTTGAGAAAATTTATAATTATTCATTATTGGTTTCAATCCAAGTTATTCAGGAAATAATCTAGCCGTATAAACCTCGACCTATAAATTTAAATGGACTAAACTCATAGATCTTTATGGAATGTAGCGAAAGTCACGTCCTTGAACCGGAACCGCTTCCTGAACCGTGAAATAATTCGATATAAAAAAGATATAGCTTAGGATAACACTAATAAATAATGTATACTAACCTGTATATTCAATTCTAAATTCTTCCATTGACAAAACCTAGTATATTTATCACTGAAACAAAAAATAATAATTATAAGTAAGTAAGTAGCTGCTTTTTTCCTGTCATCTAACATTGTTGTTCATTTTATGAGCAATTGTCGAAATTACTTTGAGCTTTTACTTTTTGTCTAACAATTCATTCCACTTTGAGCATTTTGGCTTTTTCGTAGTTGAAATTATAAGGTTTTTCACTGCAGAAAGAAAGACAACTCCAAGATGACACTAGCTATTTCCGAATATAATTGAAAATTTATTGATTAATTTTGACAGCTGCAGTTTTGGAGTTCATGAAAACTGCACCTTCGCCATTTATTCGGAGTTTATCAGCCACCATTTGACAGAAGATGAGTATTCGCCATTTCATGAACAATAGAGTCACTGGATACCATTTTGGCTTTTTCGTATTTGAAATCATAAGGTTTTTCACTGCAGAAAGAAAGAAAATTCCAGGATATAGACACTAGCTATTTCCGAATATGAAAGGGAATTTATTGGTTAATTTTGACAGCTGCAGTATTGAAGTTCTTGAAAATTGCACCTTCGCCATTTATTCGAAGTTTATCAGCCACCATTCGACAGAAGATGAGTATTCGCCATTTCATGAACAATAGAGTCACTGGATACCATTTTGGCTTTTTCGTATTTGAAATCATAAGGTTTTTCACTGCAGAAAGAAAGAAAATTACAGCATATTGACACTAGTTATTTCCGAATATGAAAGGGAATTTATTGGTTAATTTTGACAGCTGCAGTTTTGATGTTCTTGAAAATTGCACCTTCGCCATTTATTCGAAGTTTATCCGCCACCATTTTAGAAAAGATGAGTATTCACCATTTCATGAACACTAGAGTCACTGGATAGCATTTTGGCTTTTTCGTAGTTGAAATTATAAGGTTTTTCACTCCAGAAAGATAGACAATTCCAGGATGACACTAGCTATTTCCGAATATGATAGGGAATTTATTGGTTAATTATGACAGCTGCAGTTTTGAAGTTCTTGAAAATTGCACCTTCGCCATTTATTCAAAGTTTATCAGCCACCATTTGACAGAAGATGAGTATTCGCCATTTCATGAACACAAGAGTCGCTGGATATCATTTTGGCTTTTTCGTATTTGAAATCATAAGGTTTTTCACTGCAGAAAGAAAGAAAATTCCAGGATATAGACACTAGCTATTTCCGAATATAAAAGGGAATTTATTGGTTAATTTTGACAGCTGCAGTTTTGAAGTTCTTGAAAATTGCACCTTCGCCATTTATTCGAAGTTTATCAGCCACCATTCGACAGAAGATGAGTATTCGCCATTTCATGAACACTAGAGTCACTGGATACCATTTTGGCTTTTTCGTATTTGAAATCATAAGGTTTTTTTCACTGCAGAAAGAAAGAAAATTACAGGATATAGACACTAGCTAGTTCCGAATGTGAAAGGGAATTTATTGGTTAATTTTGACAGCTGCAGTTTTGAAGTTCTTGAAAATTGCACCTTCGCCATTTATTCGAAGTTTATCCGCCACCATTTGACAAAAGATGAGTATTCACCATTTCATGAACACTAGAGTCACTGGATACCATTTTGGCTTTTTCGTATTTGAAATCATAAGGTTTTTCACTGCAGAAAAAAAATTCCAGGATATAGACACTAGCTATTTCCGAATATAAAAGGAAATTTATTGGTTAATTTTGCGAGCGGCAGTTTTGGAGTTCTCGAAAATTGCACTTTCGCCATTTATTCAAAGTTTATCCGCCAACATTTGACGAAAGATGAGAATTTGCCATTTCATGAATACTCGAGTCACTGGACGGTATTTGTTAATTACTCGAATTAATAATTTCAGAATTACGTCATTCGACTTTGAGGGCAAACATTCCATTTTGGAATATGAATTCATGTGGTGAAACATAAATCTCTTCAAGAGCGACTAACATAAAAACCGTTAGAGATAGACAATTTGAAAAAGAGTACATTTTCTATGTAAAATTCCACTTGTTCTGATCATCATTGAATGGACAAAAAAGATATGATGTGATTTACTAAAATAACATAAGGCCATTAGCGCCCTCTATGGCAATCACAAAATAAGTTGCAAATTCGTATTCCTCATGTCAGAAAACCTGAAACTACAAGATTTCATGTTCATGCTCTTAAAACTTACAGTTATAGAAAAATTTTGAAATAAAATTTTTCCCTAGAACACCCTGTATCTCCTAAAAGCAACAATCTTATCAGGTATGTAAGGGTAAATCTCAAAATTTTAGTGTTTGCTATCTGTAGTAAAGAGATTTCCCATTCTTCAAGAACGGCTGAATCAATTTGGCTGAAAATTGGTGGGAAGGTAGCTTAGAACCAGGAGACGGATACTTTTCATTCCGGAACTATTAGGAAATTCAAGATGGCGGATCCAATATGACAAATTTTCTGATCATGATCCGATTCTGTTCGAAATTGGTATCTGGGGGTTTTGGAGATCGGAGATTATGATTCCTTCGTGAAAATTGGGAAGTTTAAGATGGTGAATCCAGTATGACGGACGAGTTTTGTAATTATGATCCTTTTTCTATAATAGTTATTTATGTATTAAGGGAATTATGAGGGCCTTAATTACCGATGGCAAAGTTTGCGTCCCGAGGGCCTCTGGCCCGAGGGACAGCAATTGCCTGAGGTTATTGAGGCTCAGTAATTCCCGTGATACATAGATAATTTTATTTCTGACTGATTTCATTCATTAGATACCTTTCCGATTGGAAGTTAGACATGTTTTTCCGTATAGTTTCAATGTCATCAGAACGTCAGATGATGATCTTGACTACCGCGAATAGGAGATTCCTTATTGCTACGTTACTGCGTGGTTGTTGCTATGCATTTCTTATTTAATTTCAGTTAGAGGGAATTATAGCATCTATAACATCCCAAGGGAGTTATGACCCTCATAATAGATATCGTAACTATGACGATATAAGCTTATAATGTCACTGTCAGAAATAAAATTAGTATCTATATAGAGATTTTGTGGATCGGGGATTATGATTACCTACTTCATCAAAATGAGAAAATCCGAGATGGCGGACGAGGTTTGTAATCAGGATTCGATCCTATTCGACATTTGTATCTGAGGGTTTTAGAGATCGGAGATTATGATTTCTTCGTGAAAATTGGGAAGTTTGAGATGGTGGATCCAATATGGCGGACGAGTTTTGTAATCATGATCCGATTCTATCAAAATTAGTATCTATAAAGAGATTTTGTGAATAGGGGAACATGATTACTTCCTCAAAATGAGGAAATTCGAGATGGAAGACCCAATATGGCGGACAAGGTTTGTAATTATGATTCGATTCCATTCAAAATTGGTATCTGGGGGTTTTCGGGTCGTCAAAATTAGGAAATTCAAGATGGCAGATCCAATGTGGCGAACGAGTTATCTAATTATAATCCGATTCTGTTCGAAATTTGTGAGCGGGAGTTCTCGGAGGCGAAATTATGATCCCTTCGTCAAAATTCAAGATGGCGGATCCAATAAGGCGGACGAGTTTTGTAATTATTATCTGATTCTGTTTGAAATTTGTGAGTGGAAGTTTTCGAGATCCGGAATTTTGATTCCTTCGTCAAAATTCAAGATGGCGGATCCAATATGGCGGACGAGTTTTGTAATTATGATCCGAATCTATCATGAGTTTTCATTTTTTTATAGATAGCCAAACTGAAGAGAAAAAAAAATGAATGAAAGTGTGTTGATGAATATTCAACTGAAAAAATATTTTCCAGAAATAATGTATAATGCATAACAGCGTTTGCGGGGTCAGCTAGAATCTCAATATAGAACATATGTCCATATCGAGAGCTTGAGAGCGATAATACTCTTGAATAATTATGAATAATCAAAACTTGATCACCCTGTACGTAAAATTAAGAGACAGTAATTCCACTCACCTTTCTAGAAATTTTTTGAAGGGCTCATCCCTCAACTGATTATAAATTTCTTCTATATAAGGCTGAAAATAAAGGATATACGTTAGTACCTATTTCAATAATTATAATTATCAATAGAAGTTTGAAGGTTTATCATCCAGTTTTTTTCATCTTCGGTTTAAGAGACTGCATAAGAGTATCAAATATGAATCAGTGTGAAACGAGCCACGACCCCGCCAGTTTTTCATATCCATGGACGATAATGTTGTATTCATAAGTCGAAAATTAAATAGATATATACCGGGTGACACAGGAGACATGTAGCAGCCTGTAGTTTTCTTATTTGAAGAAATAAAATTTTGAAATTCACAGGAGGTATATAATAAATGGTAGCGCAATTTACGAACTTAACGACCATTTTTTTCAACCACCTGTTTGACCGGAAGTGACCCCAACTTTTTTTTTTAAATGTCGCCCTGTACATTTCTTCAGTCTATCTTATTCGCCTTGAAATTCTCTATCCAACCATGTATCACAAAGTGGCATTTGTTTCTTAATTCGCTGTTGAATTGCTTTTCATTCAAAAAGAATAAGTTGGCTGTGATATGAATTCGATGATATATCGACACCTGGTAGGCTTTGAAATTTAAATATCATTAGTAAACCGATAAAATTCAAAATGTTTTGATATTCTGATCAATGTCTGCAGGTTGTCAATAGCTTGTTTGAGTCGAGATGAAAACCTTCGAAAATAACTCATGAGATTGAGGAATCTAAGATAGGAACATATTTTTTCGAATTCAGCTACTCGTACAGAAACTATCTGTCTTTTATTTTCGCCATGTACCTATCACATGATCTTCCCATTTGGAATAATAAAACTAAAATTGTTCCTCTTATACGAAGATCTCACACAGGGCTATCAGTCTATTTTTTCATAATTATTTCACTTAGAGAAGGCGGTGTACTTACACAAAATGTTTTATGTGTTTGACAGTTAATCGATTGCATCGATAATTTTTTTTCTTCATTTGTGTGATGATTAAAATTGCATATTAACAACATATCGACTTTTTCGTTTCTTGAATTCATTTTCCGTCTCTATTGACTTTTATGATCATATAAATTGTGTATAATGAGGTTATATACGAGAGCGTCTAGGGGTGACACATTTAAAATAAATTTATTTTTTTTCAACATTTTGGAAAAAAAATGCAATATGTTGGAAAAAAATCCAATATATTGAAAAAAAAATCCAATATAATGAATAAAAATCCAATATATTGGAAAAAAAATTCAATATATTGAAAAAAAATTAAATATATTGGAAAAAAAATCCAATACATTGAAAATAAATCCAACATTTTGAAAAATAAATTCGATATGTTGAAAAAAAAATCCAATATATTGAAAAAAAATCCAATATGTTGGGAAAAAAATCCAATATATTGTTTTTTTTTTTCAATATAACTGACTAAAACAATTCAACTACTTCCTACTACCAAATACTATTTTAGAGGCGGGTAAAATAGAAAAATGATGATGTAAAACTACTTCAATCTTTGTGCTTTTTCTCTCCATATCCACTACGATTTATTGCCATGTTATGTATTATATCTGAGATGTAACAATATTTTTGCAAGAGGTGTGGATTTTCATAATTCTAGCAGATAATATTATCGAAAAATATACGTATCAAAAAGTAACTGTATTCTTCGTCACTACAAGTCCATTCTGTAAACATCTCTGGTGAATCCAACGATATCCGCATAATTGACCAGACGTCTTCAACTAAGCTTGGATGAAATCGATCACAGTGGATAATGCGGAATAATGCCTTTTTCTATTCAATTCCATACTTCTCAGTTTACGTTTGAGTGTTGATAAACTCATTACCATATTTTGTCTCAAATACAGAAAGGCTAGTATTTCTTCATAATGCATGCTACTCAAAAAATATTCCTTTATTATAAAATCAGTATGATTTCTTGAGACGTTTAGTAAATCTCCATCATTGTCCATTTCCGTATTGAGTCGTGGTAATAATATAATCAGTCGATCGAGCAGAGCACTACTAATGCACTCTAGCACAACAAGCAGCTTGGCATATTCATCACTCACTACTCACTTTTCCTGGATTTGAATAATGAAGAAAAATCTAATATATTGGATTTTTTTTTCAATATATTGGATTTTTTTTTTCAATATATTGGATTTTTTTTCAATATATTAGATTTTTTTTCCAATATATTGGAAAAAAATATCTTTTCAGAGCGTTTGAATAAAAGCTTTTTATTTAACAGTTTTTTTTTTACTTTCAATTTATTTCAGTAGTAGGTAGTCGGAATCGTTTTTCAAAACGACATTTTGTTAGACATAAAATTGCGCCGACCCTGTATCTCCTACGGTTTACCAAATCCCAATGATGAGGCTCAAATTCCAGCCACCCTGTACTATAGCTACTCAAAGATCGTACATGTCTCCATTCACAATGGATAAAACCCCATCCAATTCTAAATGATGAATAAGTGAACACATGGTTAGTACCTCGGTTAATGCTCACCTCAAACAAAGTGACTGGGACCTCATTTCTAGACACGTGGCTTTGAACGTGCTCCACGCACTCCTTTGAGTAGTCCTGAAAAAGAAAAAATTCAAGTAAGCCGAGAATGAACTACAAGGACTTGAACTCCACGGCACGATTTTAATCATCTCTTTTGTGGAAAAGAATCCGTCTTGATGAGTGAAGACGAAATGTATTCCGAAAATCTGCTAATCTTCGAAATACAGTGAAATTTGAATACACGGTGGTACAGAGTGCGTCTCTTAACCCTTAACTACTAATCATACGTCTCAGAGACGGCATATCAGCATCCGATTTGTTGGATTACCCCTGCATTTCAATATCGACCATTGTCCTACCACGTAATTTATGTCCACCCAGCACTCATTCAGTACCCTGAAGTTGATCTTTGTATGTGGTTCAGTTTTAGAAATATCTTGAGTGAAAGATAGATTGCCGTCTCGTAGACGTATAGTTAGTTATTACGTAATGATAAAAGTTCAATTTCCCCTATAATATAATAATATGATTGCGTCTATATCTGGATATACAGATATTGTCATTTTTTTCAATTTGCATGTTCATGACTTAGTTCTGTGTCATATTTTATTACGACTCTAACTGTATTCAGAATGACAATAATATCATCGATAATTTCAGTATTTCAATTTTATTTTAGTATTTCTATAGATCAATGTCAAAGTTTTGAACATTAGGTACTCCTCTATGAAATTTTGATCGCCACTGAAATTTGTATTTCTATTTCAATTTTGAACATCATTTTCTCTTCGCCAAATATGCAGAGAACGTGTTTAAATAGCTCACAAAAAAATTGGATTTATATGGACATTTAATCCCGTCTGTGAGACGTATGGTTAGTGACAACGTTATATATTTGGAACGTTAGTAGTTAAGGGTTAATATGGAACCCTCTTCAACTCTTTCGTTTTCAGAGATGTGAAAAATATTGAACGAAAATTTTTGTATCTAGAGCGCGAAATGCTACTTTGGTGATCGAGATCTGATTTCTTTAACGAGGCGTAGCTCAAGCAAGCTCTCGCGAGTTTTTCACTCCCTTGATTCTCGATTGTTTGCATTATCTCTTATGTATTTATACCCCCGATGAATGATTACTTACTTGACGAGAATTATTTCGCTTTGGAATGAAAACTGTATGGTTTCAAATATGTGGTTTTCAAATACAATTCATACGAAAATAGACGCAAGATTGCGATAGAGAAAAAAATTTCATCGGAAGTTATTGGAGACTACATGAGCTACTCTTCAAAATTATTTTCTAGTATACAGGGTGCACCATGAATCCGGGGTGAAAGATCGATCGTTTTTTTAAATGGCACATCCTGTATATTATTTCATTTTCGGAATCTCTCTCATGTGGGCTTCACAAACTTGTTTTGTTTTCAAAGATCAGATGCGACGTTGTCAAGTTATCGACATTTTAATCAAATTCGACGAGAAAACACATGAATGTTGAAAAATATTCAGAGAAACTATATTTTCGAAGATTCATGAACAAAACTGGGTAAAACTATGTGTAGAAACTCAGACATTATTTGGGTTCACTCAAAATATACAGGGTGTTTCAAAATAAGGACCAAATTTCGCTATTTTCAAATCGCCGAAACTCATTTTTTTCAAATGGATCACCCTGTATATTATTCCATAATTTGAAAGCTCATCCAATGGGCTTCTTGGTGATACCATATAGACCGTATCCAACGGTTCTCTTCGATAGACGAATAACGACGAACGAAAATATTTATGATTCAAAGTATTTGAATGGATTGAATTTGAGAGGAATCCTGTTCGATGAGGTGTTTGAAGGGTCTTTTTCATTAAATATGTTTTTCGAAGTCAATCTTTGATTGTTTTATTTAGATAGCTCAATTCACGTGGATAATTATTGTTTATCACTCTTTCGAGATGAATGAAAAGCAATCACTGAAAACAGATAAACATCTTGAAGTTTTAGTGACATATACAGTTGTCAGTTACTCTTCTTGGTGTAGCACATTACTGTTTGGTAATGAATTATTCAAAGGACGAATTGATTGAGATGATATACATCTTGGGTGAGTGTCAAAAGAACTGTCTTTTGGCAAGTAGGGTATACGCCCAACGATTTTCTGACAGAAGACGCCCAAAAGTTGACTGCTTTTCAAATCTAGCTGATAGATTCAATAGTACTTAGTTGAATTATTTGAAATATAAAAAGCGAGCTACTATTTTAACCGAAGAGAACGAGATGATGGTAATGACGGCTGTGGTTGAGAACCAGAATATAAGTAGCAGAGAATTGAGCCAATATGTAGAAATTTCAAGAACTTCAGTACAACGCATAATAATGAAAAATAAATTTCATCCATTCCATATCCAATTACACCAGGAACTTCTACCACAGGGATTTCAATCGCAGAATAGAACATTGTAGGTGGTTAATTGAGAAGATCAACACTGACAGAAATTTTCCGAGAAAGGTTCTTTACACTGATGAGTCTACATTTCACAAGAATGGGGCGGTGAATCATCATATCTATCATTATTATTCGGATCAAAATCCTCATTTATTCAGAACCACTTCCCAAGAAAGATGGTCTTTGAATGTTTGGGGAGGTATTATTGATAATCATGTCATCGGCCCCTACTTTTTTGATGGTGTGGTAAATGGAGTAGTAGTTTCAGATTTTCTACAAAATCATTTGGGAGCGATGCTTCAACGTGTACCACAAAATGTGTTGAATAATATGTGGTTTCAACAAGACGGTGCATCAGTACATTTTGTAGCACCAGTTCGCCAGTGGTTATTGAATGAGCGTTTTCAAGATAGGTGGATAGGTAGAGGAGGTCCAATACACTGGCCTGCAAGGTCGCCAGACTTGACCCCTTGCGATTTCTTCTTGAGGACAAAGTGTATTCGGAACAACGAAAGAAAACATGAAGATGAGGATAAGGGAAACTTTTTGCAAAGAAATGTCAAAAGTAAGGAATTCGATTCGAGCTCAAAAATGTATCCAGCAGAATGGAAGACATTTTGAACATCTCATGAACTGATATGTTTCATGAGTTTGAACATTTCTCATTGTCAGTTGAATTTTCTCTATGTCTGTTATTGTTTTTGAATAAAAATGTACAGTTGAATTGATTTATCGTTATTTACCTATCGAAGAGTATCGTTGGATACGGTCTATATGGTATCACCGAAAAGCCCATTGGATGAGCTTTCAGATTATGAAATAATATACAGGGTGATCCATTTGGGAAAAATGAGTTTCGGCGATTGGAAAATAGCGAAATTCGGTCCTTATTTCAAAACACCCTGTATATTCTGAGTGAACCCAAATAATGTCTGAGTTCCTACACATACTTTTAGTATCTGTATACCCAGTTTTGTTCATGAATCTTCGAAAATATAGTTTTCCTGAATATTTTTCAACATTTATGTATTCTCGTCAGTCGTCAGATTCGATTAAAATGTTAATAACTTGACAACGTCGCATCTGATCTTTGAAAACAAAATGGGTTTGTGAAGCCCACATGAGAGAGATTCCGAAAATGAAATAATATACTGGGTGTGCCATTTAAAAACACGATCGATTCTTTCACTCCGGATTCATGGTGCACCCTGTATACTAGAAAATAATTTTGAAGAGTAGCTTATGAAGTCTCCAATAACTTCCGATCAAATTTTTTTTCTATCTTTATCAGCCTAGCAGCTATGGTCCGAGCGAGCATAAGTGGGCCACCCTGTATATGAATTCAAAAGTTTGGGTGTCCTCGTGGCCAACGTAAGGGGCATGTTGTTCGCTCGAAATAGGAGACAACAGAGTTCGAATTTGAAATTCCGACGAGAAGCACAATGAAAAAGTATTCAAAGTTTACTTACGTGTTGCCGGGATAAAAGTTCCTTCATAATAAAATTGTCGTAAATATCCTTGGCACATTTCAGTCTCTCCTCTTGGCATTCCAATTTCTCGAAGGCTTTTATCTGGAACAATAATAAATCATATACTACCTGCCAACTGATTTTTTTGAATGAACATTCCTATACTTTCTTCGATATTCAATTTGAACTATCAAGTTGTTTTTCAAAACAATATCCTTGTTTTGATTTCAACCAAAATTAACCAGTGTCTATATACAGGGTCGCTGATATGTATTGAAACAGGTGAATATCTCGGTAACGGTTGAATTTATGTACAGTGTGATTTCAAAACGTGGCAGATTTGAAAATGTTATAGCCAATGTTGCCACTTTTCCAGTTATTCCAGATTTTTTTGTAACTTCCTTATTTTGCATAAAACACCCTGTTCCTTATTGGATTTTCGGATTCTCCTTGAAGAGCTGATTCCATTGATCTATCACACTTGGGGTCTAGCCGTGTCTAGCGGGAATGATTACATAGGTATAGGGTGTTTAAAATCTAGATTTTTCAACTTTAGGATTTTTTTGTGTCGAAACGATCCATTATCGATCAAAACCGCTCCGGTGTTTCTATCATTACTTTCGATTCACTATCTATACTGACATTTAATTGGAACAGATACAGAGGGTGATCAGAATTCTGAATATTGAACCACCCTGTATTTGTTGTTTCAATTCAGAAGAAGAAATGAAATGAATCCAACTCATCACGAAACTCATTATGGTATTTAATTTCAATGGTCTGTTTGTTTTCCCAAGCCATAACAGGTCGTTTTAGTCTGATGATGGCCGGCGTGCCGAAACCAGTCACTTTCTAATTTAAAATTGTTGATATAAAGTGTGGTCGGCCGACTTAGAGTCTTTTCTTTCATTCATGATTATGTATTATGTTCTCAATTCCCATTTCCATCGATCTATTTTGCAGATTAGCAGGAATTATGAGTTGGTAGAAAAAGTATAGTATGTCACGCGTTTATAAACTCTTTTAGACATTCGTTTATTAAACACTCGCTCCGCTCTGCTGCGCTCGTGCTTGAAATATTCGTTTCTAGAATGACGTTTATAACACTTGTTACATAATATACTATTATCTACAACTATGGAGTTATTCATACATTGCTAACTCGATTTTCAACATTAAATGACAGACATTATTGTGATGAATTGAGTAATGTAATAAGAGTAATAATGACAGTAGGATGGCGTAATAATCTGATATCCCATCGTCTTGTCAAATTCAACTAGGTAGGTATTCGTTCTACTAGTTCTACCTTAATCCAACAAATACACGGAAAAATGAGGATTCACTGTTTTTCATTCTCAACAGTGACTACCATCATGAGTAACCATAACCATAAAATAGGACTTGACACTTGACAGTTGCAGATTGGCTCACACTTATGTGCGGACTATTCGAATAGATTAGTACAGACCAATCATAACCATGTAACTTCATTGATAATAACTAGTGTCCAGAGACAGGGTACTACAATTAATCATCGCGGTGGGGGAATGCTACAGCGGAAACAAGTTAATGAATGAATAATCTGCAATAGTATGATACATTTTACAACTGATACATCCAGATACATCTCAAAATTAAATCCATAGGGTGATGAATGTTATACCAAGATGGATATTTCCATAGTTATATGCACATTGTTTTCCTTTTGTTGGCTCATCTTTTCCATCAGTAGGGACCAATCCTTATTCCGTATCTACTATTTCTATTCTATACAAAGTTTTTGATTACAACAAAATTATTATGATGTAAGTATGTCATGAGTATGTCAAATACCCTTATTTGTCAAAAATTCCAAGCATTTCACCACGCATTCGATGTTCTGAGACCAAATGGCCAGTTCCACCAGGATGATAAGAAATTCCACAAATTTGTCAATAAAACGGCGATTCTGTCCCACTGGTGAAACTACTCCAATAAACTCAGCAGAACCACTTCAATATTTCGGATTTGCAATAGTACTATAATTTGTTACTAATTTACTACTAATTAATTATCATATTCGCAAATTTATTACTCTTCATTAAAAAGAAAAAACCAACGGCTCTGCTAGCTTTATGTCAACCTAGCAGAACCATAGCTGAAAATTTAATATTTTGAAAATTTTTAATATACCATAATTTATAACTATTTTATTACTAACTTATAACTATAATCACGAATTTTTTACTCATCATTTCAAGGAGAAAAACGACGATTTGTCTATCTCGATCTCCACCTAGCAGAACCAAAACTCAAATCAAAAATTTTTGAAATTCTGTTGTATCATCGATAAGTTACCAATTGATTACTAATTTATTGCCACATTAACAAATTAATTGTTTAGCTATGGCTCTGCTAGATTGACAGCAAGCTAGCAGAGCCGTTGGCTTTCCCTGTTGAATGAAGTGTTAGAAATTTGCGAAAGTGGTAATAAATTTAGTAATAAATTAGCAACTTATCGATGATACAACAAAATTTCAAAAAACATATGATTTGAGTTTTGGTTCTGCTAGGTTGAGATCGAGATAGTCAAATCGTCGTTTTTTTTCCTTCAAACGATGGGTAAAAAATTCGTGATTATAGTTATAAGTTAGTAATACAATAGTAATAAATTATGGTATATTTGAAGTTTTCAAAATAATAATTGTTTAGCTATGGCTCTGCTAGGTTGACAGCAAGCTAGCAGAGCCGTTGGTTTTCCCTGTTGAATGAAGTGTTAGAAATTTGCGAATGTGATAATAAATTAGTAATAAATTAGTAACTTATCGATGATACAACAGAATTTCAAAAAACATGTGATTTGAGTTTTGGTTCTGCTAGGTTGATATCGAGATAGACAAATCGTCGTTTTTTTCCTTGAAATGATGAGTAAAAATTTCGTGATTATAGTTATAAGTAAGTAATAAAATAGATATAAATTATGGTATATTTGAAATTTTCAAAATATTAAATTTTCAGCTATGGTTCTGCTAGGTTGACATAAAGCTAGCAGAGCCGTTGGTTTTTTCTGTTCAATGAAGAGTAATAAATTTGCGAATATGATAATAAATTAGTACTAAATTAGTAACAAATTATAGTACTATTGCAAATCCGAAATATTGAAGTGGTTCTGCTAAGTTTATTGGGGTGGTGAAACTAGCAATGCCATCAATAAAACGCAACTAATGTGTTCGGTTGAACCTTCATCTGCTGGTCGACACAAAATCATGCATTCTCTAATAATAATATGGAATGGTCCAATTACTAATTCAACACGGTCCAATTACTAGTTTGATTGTATAGCGACTACCGGACATGGAATTTCTTTGTTTACTTGGAGTGCGTGCTTCTGTTATCGTATGCATAATATAATTATACTTACAATGCTACAATGTGTGGTATACGTGATATTTCCACGATATTACCAACTGAGCGTAATTTTTTCATTAACACACTCCCCTCATTGCTTCCAAGCATGACACATCCATCATTTTTGCTATCCTGTTTCTAATCTTATTTTATCGATTCCTTATATAAAATAGTTATTTATTATAAAAGGGCAAAACTTAAAGATTTCAGCTCGAGTCTGCACAGTAAAAATAAAAATCTTGAAATGAAGAACAAAAACTTCAACCAAAGAAAGCCCATTCTCCTATATTCATAAAGAAATATTTCATGAGATATAATTTATCTAAATTCGAAATTTAACTCTTTCCTTGAAACGATACAATATTACCATCGTTTGACGCAGCTTCAAATTCTCCAAACAAAATTCACAAATGTATTGAAGAGAACTGCTAAACGATATTGAGTGAAGAAACAGGGCCTACTCTAGGTGAGATAGAGTAGGCCCTGGAAGAAACCAGCTATGATTATTGGAAATTAATTCAATCTCTGCTTGAGAAAATTAATAACTCCAAGAAAATATTCCCACATGTTTGGAAAGATCGAACAAGTAGGTATACTCTGAACAAGAAATCATCACCTTCTTAGGGATAATCTTGATTTTTTTAAATAATGAGAGCGAGATCATTCAAACAAAATTCATGGGTTATATTGAAATGAGACATATTTCCTCAAAACAATACAAATAATAAGTCAGTTTCAAGATATCACTGTTGAATCAAAAGAAGAATAATGATTTTTGTCTAGAATGATATGCACTCTCTCTCTTCAAGATTTTCAAGTGTCTTGTTATGAACGAATTGAGATCTTTCAAGTAATATAAGATACTTGCATTGGACCAAGATATTTTTACTCAGATCAAGTTGTTCATATTATCAGTAGAAAATATTTTTTTTCTACAAACGTCAAAAAATGACAAGGTTCGCGCATTGATAACAAATTGCGAAGTGACACTTTTTTTCAGTTTCCTACGTTACCATGATACCTTGCACATAAAAATGCGCGAAGTAAAACAGTGCGCGAAGTACCTACTTCGCGCATTGTTATGTAAAATATATGAGATATTTATATTTCAACTTCATGGTCCTCAATCGAGCAAACATCCACGAAATCATTTATTTCTGAATGTTCAACAATAACTTTGTTTTATCTCTTGGAGCGCACGAAAGGAAATTCCTATTATGTTCGTGGAACATCGTGCGTACCTAGGAGAAGTTGTTGTACTTAAGACAAACACAACATAATATTAATATAAAAATAAAATGCGTTTTATTTCTTGAATTAAAATGTGATAAACAAAGTAAATGTATGGCAACCTTATTCATTGTAACAACTCAAGCTACCATGACACTTTGAATTACACAAAAGGCTCTTGTTTTCACAGCTACATTCAGACGTGGAACACTTCTTTTTGCAGTTACAGCGTGTATAGCCTTGCCCTCCGCTTTTTGAATTAGCAGAAGCTTCTTCTCTAACCGAAATTTCTTGAGCTGAAATCTCTTCCATGGAAATTACCTTTTCTTTGCGAATTGCAAATTGATTACGGGTGCAAAGGTGCCATATTTGTTTGCTATTTACTGCAGTAGCCATCGAGTACAAATTATAATACCACTATCAATCAAACCTTGTGTGAGACTGGCGACAAGCTCACACGAAAGCAATAGAAAAACACGGGGAA